AAGCTTTTAGTAAACATTACAGTTATGTTGTAACACAAAAATTAGATTTTTTAACAAAGTATTTTTGCTAAAGATTTATCTGTGAATTTACTGAGTCATTCTGACTTTGACTAGTCTGAATGGAAGGTGATTTTCATGACTAAAAATAAAAAAAAATTTGTTTTCACCATACAGTTTTCATATTTCATTTGCATAAACTTTAGAACCACCAAAATGAATATCAAAAGATTTGTTTCGTAAAACTTTATATCGTATCTGTTAATTACTTTACCCTAACAATAACTGTAGCAAAATCAGTAATGTAGGGGAAAAGGAAAAATTTAAAATTCAACATGAATCTGAATTCCATTTTTTTTATCTAAAATGATAGCATATTGTAACAGACAATTACGTGCTACTTATTCTTACAGCCAAAGTTAATAGCCTTTTCAAATCTGGGTTCATTTAACTTTATTGCTTCACTGCTACTCTTAGACCATCTCATGGTAATACATAAGCCACTTATTATGGCCAGACAGCTTTATGTAAACAAACAATGTAATAACAATCATGCCATAGTCAAACTATAATCATGTCACATGATGTGTTTTCTTGGACTTTTTTTTTATATAACCTAATATGTTATGAGTTTTATGTTCTAATAATTTTTATAACAATAAATGAATAAGAAATATATAAAGCAAGAAATTCAGTACTTACATGTAGATTGAGGAATTATGTCTTCCAAGAGAAGAAGCACTCTAACATAATTGTTTTGTAATGATGGTGGTGGTCCAAAAATTAATAATAATTATTTCAAATATACATTCTAGAACACAAAACATTGTCACACACTAAAAAGTGAATGTTCTAAAACTACTATAGTTATCTGGCTTTCTAATTAAGCTATAAATAAGTTAAAAATATTCTATTAGCTGGTCATACTGAACATCACAATAGCAAACAATGTAACTGAGGCTAAATATCTCCTAATTAAGTGCCTAAATAATAGAATTTCATATCACTTTATTTTGTTTTTATTTTGGCTCCATAGTACCTTTGGGTTTCCTTTACTCACTGGTGTAACTGCTTTTTATACTTAATGCTAACATCTACCATACCCTCCTTTTTCTACATTGCTGGAAATCAATAGTAACTTATACAGTGTCTGTTTTATCCATACTTTGACTGTAATTTATTTTAGTTTATGTGAACATTTTCATTTTGTATTCAAAACCTTTTGAATTATGTTGTCATAATTTGTTACAATTGAAGTTGGCTCTCTAATCTTAAGTATCAGATCTACTCACCATTACTTAACCAGCAAATGTTGCACATGGGTTTTATTACATCAGGAATCTGAAGCAAGAAAGGTTTGTTATTTATTTGACTAAAGATTTTGAATCTGAACCAAAGTTCTGTGTAATTGTATAATGTTATGTGTATTCTTATGTAAAACCCAGAGGCAACAAGTGTATAATGATTTCTGTATATGTAATAATTTACAAAATATAATTTCATTTATAGAATACTGATTATGTATTTATAATATATGTGCATGGTAATTTTTATAACGAAGAAGTCTCCTTGGTGGCTAATTAGTAAGCTTGAGGCTTATAACTAAAATCAGAATAAGATTCTCAACAATAGACACAGTCCATATTGTATCTTTGTGATTAACAACAAACCAACTTGTGAATGATTTAATAAAAATACATTAAAACAGCTCAACTTGAATGTAAAGTTTAGAAATTTAATCATTAGAGTAAAAAACATTCAACCTTTTCATGACATGAAATTTTGCTAAGCTTATTTATTTTCCAAGCTGTGTTCTGCGATTATTATCAGTTTTTAATTAATGAAATCTAATAGTGTATTCACTAATGTTGAAATATTTAGTTATCTTCAATGTCACTTGTCTCGTCACAATTTTTTTCTTAATTTTTTGTAATAAATAATCATTTTTGTGGTTGTGAATATATATGATGCTTGTAAATACTGTACAGATGACATATTAATTTTCATGACATCTAAGACTATTAAGAGTGTGAGTATTTTGTTTCAGAATAGTATGAAGTAGTATGACTTTCATACCAATATATTTTGTGCAAAGCTTTTAATGCTTACTTAGAAAACAAGGGAAGCATTTTTGCCTAAAGGAAAGACCCATAAAGTGGTTAAGAAATAATATCTGTAATGTAATAAAGGCTGTATAGTTTAAAAAATAAGAAGTATTCAAACCAAGAGAAAGCACTGCTGATGAAGTTCAAACTTTTCTGTACAGAAATATTTTATCTATTAAAGCTTCTTAAAACAATTATTCTATAAGTGTATTAATAATTCTCAGTTGGATTCATTTATCCAAGTGTATAGATTGTAAGAATTAACAAAATTTAATTTTTGAATTTTGAACACCACAATATTAGTTCTGTGAGGTTCTATTTCCCTGTTGCTGACCTTGTTTTGTCTTTTGTTATGATTCTAGATGTTTCCACTTACATAGAATGATACTGGTAGTGTGATAGTCAAAAGAATTGTAAAATATGTGATATTTAGTATAATTTTTGTTCTTTGTTATATAAGTGTTTATAATATATATGTATAAGCTCCATAGAGCTAAAAAATAACGTAAGTTACAATATGGGGCAGAGTTGGAAAAACTTGATATAATAACATAGATCTCTTATTCTTAACTGAATGAGAAAGAAGAGTTTGTTCTCAAATTTAAAAATAAATCCATTAAAACATATTCAAACTAATTTCTCTTTATAACATTTTAGTAGTCCGGCATGGCCAGGTGCTTAAGGTGCTTGACTTGCAATCTGAGTATTGCGAGTTTGAATCCCTGTTCGAACCAAACATGCTTGCTCTTGCAGCTGTGGGGTCATTATAATGTGATGGTCATCCCACTGTTTGTTGGTAAAAGAGTAGCTCAAGAGTTGGCAGTGGGTGATGATGGCTAGTTGCCTACCCTCTAGTCCTTTACTGCTGAATTAGGGATGGCTAGCACAGCTAGCCCTCATTTAAATTTTTGCAAAATTCAAAACAAACAAATGGACATTTTAGTAGGAATTTAACTTCACTTTTTTTGGAATACATTATTAAATTTTCATTTCAGGTCTCTTAGTCTAACAGATTTTACTTTCTAATTAAGCTCAACTATATACTGTAACTAAAGTTTGTTAACTTGAAGTTCCCCTTTTAATTCCAATTGAAATTGCATTCTAAAAATTTGCCAAGCAGTAGTTATTTCTAAGGAAGACTTTCATTGCCATGTGAAATGTAAGTTGTATAACATTCATTCTTTATTATGCTGAATTAAGTACATTTCATCTTCCTGTCTTGTATGTATTGGAAGATTTTATACAGTTTAACCATGCAAGAAACTGGTTGAACTCAACTGTTGTAGTGGAAGAGAGATTTATTATGCTTGTATTGGTTTTTAAGGTAGTTTAAATTTTTGTTTTGTGTATATTTTAGTTACTCATTATTCATTACACTTGTCTCATTTGAATTCAGATGGAAGGATGCTTTATTATGTTTAATTGTTGTGTTTATGAATTTTAGTATTAGTTGTAGTTTTTGTTGCTATGTGTTTAAGTCATTCTTTGCTCATTTCATTTTAATTCAAACAATATATTTTGTTCATTATATTAAAGTAATTTTAAGTATTTGGTACACATATATTTTAGTTATTTGCTCATTACACTTGTGAAATTTCAATTCAGGTGAAAGGAATTATAATGCCTATGTAATGTTTCGGTTTGTATTTTGGTATTAAAATAGTTCATTTTTGTTGCTTATGTATTTTAGTCCATTACAAATTTTTTATTTGTATTCAATATCCTTATATTTCTGTTATTTAATTTGTACTTGAACATGTTGTTATTATATGAATGAAAGATTAGCAATTTGTAAAGTTAGTAGATAGTTACTGTAAATAGGATTTTAAACATTTTATCTTTTTAAGGTATTTAAATCACTGGAAGCAGGAAGATGGTTAGAAGAAGAACCTTTTGAATTGAGTGATTACTTCCCTGCAGTTCAGGTGCTGATTAAAAACTAATTAAATGTTTTATTTTGCATGTTTACACAGAGTTTCTGTAAGAAAGTCTAATTATGCTGGTTTACTGTGGGAATTAGCAAGAACAGAGGGTTGTTTGGTAATTTTATAGTATAGTGCTAGACTTCTCAAACACTTTATAAATGAATAGAACTAGGGCATAATTTCATAATTCACATAATCACTTGTAAAAGACACAGACAAATTACATTATGTAAAGAGTAGAACTTTAGACAAAGTATGACCAATACAGTAGTAGAAATACATTGTCTGTCAGATTTAACATCTATTTCTAAATTTAATTTGCAGAAAATTATAGAAATACTGAAAGAAGTTAGTATATATAGGAGTATTCAAGTCCACAATGTTCCATGCCTAAAACTGCCATTCAGTGTAACTTGAAAATATATTGAACTTTATAAAATTTAAAAGTGTATTGGGTACTTGTGAATATATGTATTTTTCTCTGATGCACCAAATCTATTCATAAATGTTTATTAAACAATTAAGTTAAAATCATGTTATTTTCAAAAATTATGTAAAGATACTCAAATAATTGGCTGACTGAATGGCCCTATCTAATAAACTCTAACATTCCTGTAACATAATAATAATTTTTGTAAACTACAAAGCACAACATATTTTTCAGCATAATCAATTTTCTCTCTTTTGTAAATGACATATAATAGTTAGAATTCATTTTCAAATCTTTTGACATGCTCAGAGACTTCCTATCTCTCATAGATGTCTTTAACTAATCTCTAAATAAGGTTCATGCTTATGTTAGCATTACATGTAATAGATCTTGTCAGAATTAATGAGGCACAAATTTAAGAAATATTTAAAATGGGTAAAAAAATATTGAGAGAAAAGCTACTGAAAATGTATAACAAGTTATTTTTTAGTGAGCAGAGTTCATGTAGGTGAAATAAAAACATTTCCAGTAATAACTCATTAAAAGATGTATGTGAACCTGTACTTTACAAGACTGTGTTTAAATTACTGTTGTGTTCTCGTTATTATATTTTTATTAAAATCTAGATATTGTACAGTATCTGTATCTATTACAAAGCTTTGGTATTGTTTTGTTTTATCCTATTTTATTTGTCGGTGCCATAGTGTACAGAAATGTTGCAAGCAACTAACTACATTAGACAAGAATAGCATGATAAGCATATTTTATGATTTGTCAATGAGTTAATGATCATATGGTATTTTATAAAGTTTTTTTACTAATCTTCTTAGTTCATCTGCCAGGGAACTAACTTTTTCAAATATCTGAGCCAAAAGTATTTGCCAGTAACTTATAGAAATGCATAGTTTTAACCAAAATATCCTTGAAAAAATCATCGTATTTCAATTATTTCATTAAAATTTTTCACATTTTTAATAGAACAGAATTTATCTTTAAAAATATAAAGCTGAATAACTTTTCTCTCTATTTCTTAGTGCAATAACTTTTAGATTCTTCCTTTAGTTCATTTTAAATGCTCATTATTATGTATGTGTATTGTTCTTTTGTTTAAATGTTTTCTATTTACAGTTTTAATTTTTCATTTAAATGTGGTAACTCTTTCTTCCGTGATCTGTACTTTATTTTTGACACTTTTGAATTTTTAACCAGTGTTTTCATTCATCTATCAGATCAGCCGACTTGAAAGAGCTGCAACAGGACCAGGTTATAGACAAGACCTCTTTGGCAGTTTAGGTTTCATTTACATATCTCCTTACAGCTCTCCACCTAAAGAAAAATTGGTTCAGTTAGTAAACCTGGTTGGAGGCACAGTAAGTAACATAAATGTATTTCCATTGTAGTACAGTTTATTTAACAACTTTTGATAATCCAAGCCAATATGGAATTTTTAATGAAAGAGCTTTGTTTTGAGTATTAATTAAAATTTTAACAGAAAGGTGATCAATGTAACCCACCACAGTTTTATTTATTCATTGTTGAAAAAATCTTTTAAAAATGTATTACAAATCGTGTTCACCAGACAACTGGTTGGAGATAAACTGACAGAAGTAAGTAGTTATAGTGTGATGTGTATATCGAGGTATTATATATCATCTTCACTATGATTTATTTAGGTTATTCCAATGTCATAGTACTATAAACTTAAACTGTTAGTTTGTGACAAGAGGTCACTGCAATTAACTTAGTTCCTAATTAGTATGTGCAGAGATTAGCTGTGTCCAGATGCTTTCCATCTGATTAAGTACGTATATGATAAAGCTGAAAAGTATTACATTTTATCTGTTTCCACCAGGAATATGCATAAATTTAAAATATGCAATTGTTAAAATTCAAATATCTGGAGGTCTCTTGGTCAGTTATAAAATATCATAAACATTAGTTGCATGCAAAGTCAAAAACATGTTAAAGAAAAGTTCAACTTCTGGCCATCGAGAGGCAACACAGTTAGAAAAAGTGTAGTGTTTATTGACTGTTGTTTATATTATTTTGATCTTATTTTATAATATGCTAAGAAAACCAGAGATATTTGTCATGAAAAGTTAAATATTTAGTGTAGTGTGGGCATGTATATGTGTACAGTAGATGTGATGTTATTTTGAGTAAGGAGAAAACACTAGTCATCCATTCAACAACACGGGGGTTTAAGTTGGTCATCCGAAGAAGTTTTTAAGCATCTCGGATGAGCATTAAAATCAAGCCATGATATATATATATATATCTTTATAACTTCGAAAATCAAGAACACTTCAGTTTAGTTCTGTGCATTGTACCCCCTGTAACAAATTTTCTTTCAGTGAAATTAGATGCTTAACTATATATATGGGCTTTATAATTTTGACTGACTGCATAACCACCATGAAACTATACAAATTATACCTCTCAAAATAGTAAGTTTATCTTCACAAAACTTAACAAGTTTTACTAAACATTACAAGTCTTTTGTACAAAAAAAAAACACATAAAATATTTTTACTAAACATTTGTCTGAATTTATGAAGCCTTTACTATGTCAGTATGAGTGAAAGATGATTTTCATGCTAAGAATAAAATTACTTCTTTCAGTTGCATAACCTCTAAATCCTCCTTAATAAATATCAAGGTTTTTTTTGTCAGTAAAACTTTCTTATTTGCTCTATGTTAACTGTATTGAAATTACTGTAGCAAAAGTTGAAAAATATGAAATAAAATAAAAAAAAATTGTTTTTTCTGGAATGACTGCTAATTGTAACAGTTACTCTTATTTATTCTGAACAGTGTAAGGCTTTTAGAAGTTTCACATCTACTTTCTTAATCTCATTGTTCTTTGGACTTTGTCTAACTAGCGTAACAAGGCAATGAATCAACTCACATCATGTAACAGAGCCCACATCCATTTTTCAAACATAACTTTTTTATTTAATGTTTGTTTGTTTTTTAAGTCAGTCATTATTAATGTAATGGTTTGTTTAAAATAATTCATTCTGAAGTACCATGCTTTAAAACAAATTTTTATGTTTTCAATAATATGTATTGTTTTCTTGAGGATACATATTTATAATTTATTTTGTTTAATTGAATGACAAAGAGCAAAAATGCTGATGTCCTATACAAGTGTTGATATTGATCCTTTCTTTTCACCCAGTAAAAGATTTGTTTTGCATTATGCGTATTTTGGGAAAATAATTTTGTATGTGTCAACATGAAACATTATTGTTTATCTCAGATAACTCCCAGTTATAGACATTGTCAGTTTGCAGTGGGTCCTCTCAAGCATGTATGCCGAGAAAGTAATTCTGCTGTGAAGGAAGTTTCTGAAAAATGGATCTTGGGTGAGAATACCCTTACAGCTATAGACTACTAAATTTCAAAGTTGATACTATCTAAACTTTACCAGTGTCTTGATTTAATTGTTATTTTTTGCACAATATATATGAACTGTATTTCTTAAAATTTTAGTTGATTGTTAATTTTTAGATGCATATTTAATTATATTAATTGTTCTATGTGTAAGTTTATTTTTTGATTTCTCCTAATTTGTTGTACATAATACAGTGTGATAGTATCACAACTTGTCTTTCAGGAGCTGGTAACATCTTTGAACCTTCTGTAGACATCAGGTATGTTTTCTGGATCAAGTAAGTTAGTTGAAGATTACACTAAGCTGAAAGTAAATTACAAAGTAAATAAGCTGTATGTTAAAAAAAGGAGTCACATTGGTCTGTATATTTCTGGGAATGCTTTCCCCCCATGAACGGGTCTACGTAAATTGAAACCAATACCCCATACTACCTATTTTAAATTAAATACACACATTTGCAGATTTTTACAAGTTCAAAACATCATCTTATTGAATATTTTGTTTAGCTATGATCTCTATGTATTTGAACACCAAGTATTTAATTATTAAAAATGTTAGCAAAAATAAACTACAAGAGAAAAAGCATGAATTGTACATATCATTTGTTTTTTGGCTTTGCAGTTTTGATTCAGCATCTAAACAAGCTGTATCAGATTTAGGTTGGTCCTTAATACATATATACTAAGCTAGCAGCAAAAAAATAATCTTTATAATGAAAGTAATAATAAAAATATACTTAAAAAGTAATAAAATTAGAGCCCTCAGTGATTAGTCTGAGGGCTTGTAATACAAAAAGTTGGATTTTTATACTCATGGTTGGCACAACACAGATAGCCCATTGGGCAGCTTCATGGTTTATAATTAACAAAACATAAAAAATAAAGCTAGATAAATTAATCAATCCAACCAGTATTGTTAATGAATGTAACTATAAGGAATGTGTTGAGTATATCTTACCTAAGGAACACAAAAATACTAGCATTCAGCCCTCCATGTTCCAAATGTCTGTCTCAACAGACATCCACATTTGTAGAGAATTTTTGATGTTATGTGGAGTTTAGTGGGTTGATGAGAATGTGTTCCTTCTTCTCTTCTGTACCTCCAAACTGGACCAATTTCACACGTTGCTGTACTTTGCACAGACAAAAAATTACATCTTTTTGCTAGTCAAATCAATGCATATTTTGTGACAGCTGTACTTTCAGGAAACTACATCACAGCTCTAATCAATGACACAGCAACATCTGCATAAACATTTGAGTGTTTATTCACTTGATCTAGTAACTTAACCGTGTCCTTTCTTATTGAGAATGTTTTTATCAATTTTCCCACTTACTCTTTGCATTATTTTATTTATTACTTTTTCAGCAACAATGCTATTATGTTACAGAATTTTTAAATTAATGCTTAACTCACTAGTAAATAGTTAAGTCTTCTTGAAAAGGCAAAATGTAAACATTATAAACCTTAAGAAATTTCATTAGTAATAAAAGATTTAGAAAGGAAAATTTAAACAATCTTGTATATGGCAAAGAAAGTAATTAGCAAAAACTATTGTTACTTAATCAATAATCTTCTGCTTTATTTTTAATAATGTTCACAAAACTGTTTTAAGGATTATGTATATGGACTCTTTTCACCTTTTTCATCAGTGGAAAATGATCTTTAGGCTTACAGTATTTTGCAAACTCTTTATTACAAGCTGGTGATAGATATCCTTAAATTAAAATGTATAGGTTATTTGTCTTAATTTCACATCTACATAATAGAGATACAGTTGTCCCTCTTAGATACAACTGACCTATCTGCCATGATAAAAAGTCATATCTGACAGGAAGTCATTATTCAAAGGATCAATAACTAGATAACAATTGACCAAGTTCAAGCTGTGCCAGTTGCTATTGCAAAGGCTTGAGCATAATGGCTTATATACTGTATAAGTAATCAGATCACATACTAAATTGATATAAGAATAGTTATGATGGATAACAGTTCTATAAAAAATATCTTAGAATTGTTTTGTATTTTATGTAAAATAACTTATGTAAATGATTTATTCTTCAATATGTTTCATATTTATATAGCAAGCCATAGATTAACTACTCACCAGAAGAATTAGTTACCTATGTCACACATCATCTAACATTCTGAGAAAACACTCATTCTGACTGCTGATTGGCTGGTGAGGGTTTTCCCAGCTTGCATCATGGTCTCATTTTCAATGCTAATTGTGTGCTATTCATCGCTCGTGTCAACTGGGTTAATCAAGCACTAATTGCTATTGAAATTATTGCTTTTTCTGATCACATTAAATAATCATGGTATAAATATTCATATTTTGAAGAATATTACATAAAATATGAAAATTTCCCAGCCTTCATATTTATTTTCATTGTGTGGTATCACATATGATCACCCACCCATTGTGGACATCAAGAAACTACAGTTGAATCATCACAGATTCAGCTTATAGTACATACATGTACACATAAAATCAAATAAATGAACACACAACAAAAACAACATGTTTATATATTTTTATTTAAATGAAGAAAAGTCACTATAGAGAAGTCGTTATCTGACCTTCTGCACAAAAACCACAGCCATATGTTGCTTCTGTCAGGAAGTTGTTTGTGAGAAGTCAGATCAATGTAAACTCATTCAGTGCACAGAAAAAAAGTCATATCTAAAAGGAAGTTGTTATTTGGATGAGTTGTATCCACCAGGGACTATTGTATTATCAATTAAGCATAATTCTTCCGCCTAACTAAAGGAAACACATATTTTACCTATGCCTGTACTATAAAGAAGCAGATGAAGCCCAACCTGTTTACATGTAACTTTAACTGAGAAATAGTATTTTACGTAAGCAGTGGAAACTTAAACTTTTCAAATAGAAGTTACATTAAAAATTTTCACCTGACTACTAAAACATCAAGCTTTCTTCACATGCATACCCAACTGGTTGATGTTTTTATATTTGATATAACTATAAGGTTTTTAGAATGTGTAGTTCTGGCTTAGTTTTTGTTTTCTAATAATTATATTGCTTCTTTCAACTGTACCTTTAAATAATTACAGCTGCAAATATTCATAACTAGCTCTTCATTGTTATGAGGTTGTTGTTTTTTTTATTTCACCCTCACAGTAATGATTCAGTAATGTAATTATTATTGTTCATAGTGTGTGTGTACATATATACGTAAATATACTGCACAAAATATTTAAAGATAAATTGAAATTTGTTATATTAAATATATGACAAGGCAAAAACTTTTGTCAATCAACTTACTATCATTTTATTCACAAATTGGTATAAGTGTTGTTAACAGAATATGGAACTGCTTCCAAATAAGTGGTACACTTGCTTGGATACCTGAATAAGACTGATCATTATCATAACACAAGCATATGATCACTATCAATTCTGGCTTATCAAAACTGTAGGGTTCCTGCTCTAAAACTAAATCTTATTTTTAAAGCCACAACTGGATCCTATTTCAGTGCAGTGTCAGTATTGTTGTCAAGACTTCAATATCCAAAAACCGAGAACTGAGGGTTCAAGACCTTGTAATAAATTACACAATGAGAAATAAAGCAAGGCATCACAGGCATCAAACACATGAAAAAACTTCAGCAAATAAAACTAAAAATCAGTAGTGGTGTCAGTAAATTTTTATGATCTTTGAAGCCAAACATGATCACAATAGATCTACTAAACATGTTGAATATCAGGCATAATCACTAATCACAGATTTCACTTGGCCAACCTGTAAACCAGATAACTAGTGATAATGAAAGGTCAATTGCAATGGTGTTAAGAACAGGTCCAGTAGAACAGTATTCTTTTTACAGATGAGTCAAGCTTTGCCTTATAGCCAGATAACAAAAACATACTCATTGAAAGAGAAACCGAAGCTTAATCCTAGACAGTTTTCTTACAGTAATGCATATGAAGATAATGGGAAAATGGTATGAGCAAAAATAAGCACTGGCAAATGTACTGACTTCTGCATTTAGCAGAATGGTAACATTAATGTCACACCACATTGTTGACCCTCTTTGATTCCATATGCTGGTATCTCAGGCCTTGTTTTTATCCCAGTGGGTGATAATGCCCAGTCCCTTATTACTAAACTGTTTGATGCATTTGTTGAAAAAAGAAAGGATTTACTAAATTGAATGGCTTGCATGTTCACAGTACTTCAATCCTATATAGCACACGTGGGATTCCGATCAAGAGACTTGTTGTATCCTGTCAAATTACTAGACACTAAAGTTGCACTGGAAAAAAAAATCTTTTTTTTTGGAAGATTGGCTGAGTTTATTTCGGAACTTTATCAATGCTCAGATTTGAAGTATCATTCTGACTATAGAAATGGAATGTCATTAGCTACAAAGATGTAAAACCTCTACCAAATGTCTGAGTGTAGGCCAAAAGACCATTTGCGTTTCAAACCTTATAAAATTTCATCAGCTCTGTGATTTGCATAAAAATGAACTGAGTGAGTGATATTATAAATTCCAGTTATCTTGTAATTACTTTATGAAGTATAGTTTGAAGCTTAGACCATTACCTTAATAGTCAAACCCAAAACTATCACATAGAAATTATTACCAAAAATGTTTATTATGTAGCAGTTTGAACCCAAACTGTATCTTAGATAATTTTAGCCTTCATGTAAGCTGTAAAAGTTTCAATCTAATGCAATGAAAGCTCAGACTTCATTTAAGTAATTGAAGGTTATATTCATTACAAATAGGTGTTCTTGTTTGAAGTTAAAGTGTTCATTGCATGTTTTCTTTCATTCTTACTCATGTATGCACTTTTTGCGTTAAAATATTCTTTTATTTTGATTTTATTACAGATTGTATAACACAGCATGAAGTCCTTTCTTTAGAAGAGCCATCTTGAGAATCATTTTTCACTGGATAGTTTATGGCAATGAATTCTGAGTATTTCTCACAAGAGTTTATGGTTTTTACTCAGCTTATGAATGGTACAGATAACTAAGACTGACAACAACTTAACTATTAAATTGTGTCTTCAGTTGAAGAATGATATTACCATGATAGCTCATTGTTGAACAAATTTTTTTCTTAAGTTATGTAACCTTTTGAAAATACATAATTTGTAAATCTTTAAAGCATTCTTTTTTATATTTCATACTGACCAGGAGTCAAAAAGTTTATTGTTATCTTACTGTTTACAATAAAGAATGGGGTTTAATTAACCAAAAATTAGCAGAACAGTACGATAATGAATGGAATGATTTTTTTTTTTCAGTTGTCATGGGTTAAAATCTTTGAAATAAAAATGTTATTTACAAAACCATGTTTATTTGTTATTATTGAAAACAGTACATGCACAGTTTCTGGACTTCAAAACTCTAGAAGTATGATCTCAGTTACCTGAATTTATAAATAAATATTCTCTCTGTATTTTTCTAACTTTGCTGTTGATAAATTTGTCAGTTTTCTTATCAACGTATGTTTTTGTGATCAATTGATGATTTCTTCCTTTACACTTGTAAGTCTGCATTCACTGAGAACTTTCTATTGAAAAAAACAAATGACAAAGCTTTCTGTTTAAATTAAATTTGAATAAAAAGTATATTTATGTGGTGGGCATAAGCAATAATAATTAGATACTCCATTTGCTCCATTTTCCTTTCAACATAATTCATGCTATACAGAATTATTAACCTATATAATGAATTCCACCTACATTTGCTAGTGTTTTTTCAATTGCATTTGAAATGATTAATTATGTCTAGCATTAAAGCTATTAGAAGTTCACTGTCTAAAACTCCATCCTGTACCACAAAATTTCTAGTATATGTAACCTTACTTGAAACACTACTATTTTGTTCCATAATTACAGTTCTATACAGATTTGGGTGAAAACTGTATGAAGAAATAAGATGAAATAATGATTGCACATGATATATGATCAAATATTCTACAGCTAATTGTATTCACTGGCAACCTGTAACAGTGCCCACAACACTAAAAATTTCCCTAAATTTTTTGAGATATGAAAAATCACTTATCATTTTACTTGCATTAATTCCAATCTTTTTTGTAAAAAGTATGTGAACTATCAATCAAGAAGTATGGAATAATGGCTGTATCTGGAAATTTACATATAACTTAGGGTGCTACTCTTTGTCTTTCTTTACCCAACTCCTGTACTCTCTCTCTCTCTCTCCACCTATCACTTCCTTACTGAGGCTCCTTATTATGACCCCAGTAGATTTGGTGAAGACACTTATTCTTTGTTTGCCATTTTGGTTTCCACCTCTTCTCCTAACTCTGTTTTGAACTGGTTTCTTTGTTTTAGGGTATCTTCTCAGTTGGGTGTCCACATCTTTTCCTCCATGTCTTTTTTTCTCATTGTCCTCTTTCCTATCCTCTTCCCACTGGTCATATGCATCTTCTTCATCTTCAGGACAAGGTGTCCTCTTTGTAGGCCACAGGAGCTATAGAACCTGTCTCTCACTCCACTCTGGGATTTTATTCCCATCTTTTGTCATCCCCATGAAGTTGAGAATTTGGCACCTTGTCATTGACTTATTTTCTCTGAATCACTTTTTTAGTTGTTCCTCAATTCCAGATGAACATATTTCTCAGTTTGTGTTAGGCCCTTTATGGCAGTTGTATGTGAAGTAATAGTTCTTAGTGGTGTAGAGAGGCAAGTATTTGTGTGAAATACAATTTCAGGAAAGGAACATGTGAACTTCAGATATTGCTAGAATTATTTTGGCATGTCTTGAAAAGGATTGAATATTTTGCAGATTTTGCCATGTCTGAGGCAGTTAAAAGTTGAGACAGTGAAACAAACAAAAAAGTGCCTTTGTCCTGGTTTGAATTTTTGTGTCAAATGTATTACCAGTGGATGTGCCATTGTTATATTTATGAAATAAAAATATATTTTGTGTGGATGCTGATTATAAGTATGTTCCAGACTGCCATAATGAAAGCCTCAGCTGTGGCATAATGAAAGTCCCATTGTAAGTTTGTTCTCAATATAGATACCAGTAACAGCACAATAGGTTCTGGTTTTTACAATTCTAGGAAGACATGGAAAAAAATGTGATCACAAATTTCCTTGGTTTAGCAAGCAACATAAAAGATCTATCAACCACAAGGATTTGTCCAGATGCAAAGCTGGTCCTATGTTGTATTAAAGGAAGACAAGAAGACTAACAGTTATCTGATTCAGTCATCAGTTAGATTCTATTGCCCGAAGAAACAAATAAAACATGGTCTCTCTCTAATTCAGTTTAGTTGTGTGTATTCATTTCCATAGTCTTTTGGCATGTTGTAGAGAGCTCGAGGTGCTGGATATCACACTGTATTGCAGATATGTATCAACTTGTTGCAGGAACTGGATGCATATGTAGCTGGTAGTACCTAAGCTTATGTAACCAGAAATCTGGCTGTCCCAGGTCAATTCCATAACAGTAGAACATTTGTAAATGTTCAACATTTCGGCCAGCTTAAGAGGACATTAAACATTGTGTAGAAATGGTGCAAGAAATCCATGCAGCTGAAAGAAGATCAATTTCACACTAGGCTAAGCTGCAGTAGAGTTACACTAGGTTGCTCCTATATCTGATTACACTGAATTGTCCAAACCACTGTGTATAATATTATATTAATTGATAAGAGTTAATCACTGTCAACTACTGCAAAGTGATGAGAGGTTTACACTTTTCTATACAGTTAAAGGATTCAAATAATTTGATAACTGCTGTTGCCACAGGGGACTGGTAAAGACCCAAAGATAGCAGTACTTTGTAAAATGTGAGAGGTTGGCAAAAATAAATCATTCAGATAGTAAAAACAAATACTTGGACTGAGTTTAATTTTTAACATACCTGCTGGGATGATCATTTCTATTACAACAAATGACTAAACAGCCTTTTGACCAATGTACTTTCAAGAAGTTGATTAGAACTTTCCCATGTTTCCTATGTAACATCCACAGATGCCAATGCAGATACAGTAGATCACAGGGAATTTAATTCGTAAAACAGACTGGTGTTCGACCAAGAAAAGAACTCTGACAAAACCATTTAGCTGCATCATAGATTTAGTTGGATAAAAGAATAGGATAAAACTCAATCCTTTTCAATACAGTTTTCCACCTCATTCTGTGAGCTGAACCTAATACGTAGAGTGTAAAGACTATTATATTTCTTAATTTATGCCAGATAGGTGCAGGAAGTAAACATTGATGAAGCTGGTATTATCTAAGTTCATGTATATGCGGCATAACATAATAAATATACTTCATAACATTAGAGAAAAAGAGACACCAAGAGATGTTATATACCATCAGCCTGAAATCTATTATATTTACCAAGAACATATGATTTAGATGGGTGATGCATTTCCTGCACAGTCTATGTGACCAAAATAAAATATCACCTACATCAGTTTAAACTGTAGCAATAAAAACAAACTGACTCAACCCTTTAACAGGTTACTCTTAGACGTAATTAAAACACTGCCCAATAGAGGACACATTAATAAGTATGGGGGTAATTTGGTTTGGTGCAAAAAATTCCACATTAATAAAAAATATCTTTTAGGGGATTTTATTTGCATAGATATTCTGAACAATGGAATGAAAGATCATATAGCCAAATATTTCAATCTTAAATAGGCTGAAAAAATAACTGATATGTAATAATACTATGCCCAATGGATGAGTAGATTTACACCAAAGCCTTGTGATTTTGATAAATCAGTCATCTGGTTGGTGTGAGGGTGAGCATGGTCAGAAATTATTGCACACAAAAAATGGAATGGTTGCTCCATGCAATGGTAAATACCCACAGGCATGTATGTCAGCTTTTAGGGAAGATTTGTCTCGCAGAAAAATCAGTGTATGCGATGGTAGTGCAAGAACCCATTTTTCCAAGGAAATGGGTACGGTTTTAATCTCGCCAGGAACCAAACAATCACTCAGCTCATGTTGGATTCACTCTTATGTTGGTTCATTGTACTATAAATTCCAGCACACATGCTAGGTAAAAACCTTAACTTTGCATATGAATTAGTTCTAATACAGATCTGACTCTGTGGGAGACCCAGCTATCTATAGGATTGTGTATGAGGCCAAAGCAATGAACCTTACAAGATCTCGTCTACATAGTAGGTGAACGGTAGAATTGTCCATTCCTGTCGCGAGGCAAAATATGTTCCAGCTGATGCTGCAGGAAAGCCAAGAGGGTCAACAAGCGAGATATGGCTTCAGCTGCTCCATTTTGTTTAAACTAGTGGGACCTAAATTGGATTTCAATAACTCGAACAGGTGCAGTAATTAACTTTCACCCTGAGTTATAGTGGTTAACTCGAACAACCATGGACTTGGTGTTGCATGGATGTGAGGCTAAGTTGACCTTGCTCTGTGAAACCCTGGGAAAAAGCCTTCACTTTGGAGAGCTAGCACCCATTTTGGTCTTGCGAATGGTGATAAGCTATATGTTTGTGGAGAGGTACAGATCCAATTTTGTCTCAACACTGTTGATTGCTGAGCAATGTTAGTTATCTAAGATCTTGACTCAGTCATTGATATCATAGGGATGGATATACTGTGGAAATTGCCTGCTACTTCCTCTTGTTCAGTTCTCTGTAAAAATCATTCATACCAATCAGATTGAGCCAAAGAAGAGTGGATTACGCGTACATGTTGAAGAGAAGAATGTAGTATCTCTAAACATGCAACTGATATTCCAGCTATGCTGCAAATGCAATATATAGTTTTGTTACTGTCTGCTGCAGTTATAAAATCGAAGCATAATATGATTTTTTCTGCTCAGAAATCAGGTTGTATTTGTTTAAACAGTTATATTTAAACCAGCACTTATCTGTATCTATGGGCACGTGGCTATCCAATTTTCAATGGAAATTATCATTAATATGGTGATGTAAGTAAAAGAGATACAGTCCAGCTATATAGCTGGCATCTCTGCAACTTTAACGCATCCAAAGATGAACACACAGCTTCCCGAACATATGAGACCACTGGTTGAGATTGTTCTAGGAATTTAAATTAAATTAACAAAAGAGACAGGAACTCATTGAACTGCTCTTGGATTTTGTTAATGTGTTGTTCAGAAGATAATATGGGTAAGACCAAATTAACTCATTAACAGATGCAGGTGATACAATACAATACAACAGCTACTGGGCTAGTTTCTTGGCGGCACCAAGGATGTTGCCAGTGCTGAAATCAAGCAAACTTTGGTCAACTTCATTAGTTATTGTAAGGAAGATTAAGGAATTCCTGGACTCTGTCTGGACTTTCTGTGAGCAACGTGTCAATGGCTTTATTTTATAATGAATGGACAGATGTTTAGATGCTCTGGAAGACGTTAAATCTGGCTGTTGACAAGTTAAACTAGGACTTCTTTCAGCACTCAGAAGAACTGTACGAAATTCACATCATGCTATTCAATATGTTAATGCACCTGACACTATCAAGAGATAGAGCTCACTTAAAAGCCTCCAATGGAAAAGAGGTCTTATATATATGGATGATATTTTAGTTTTATCACATGTTTCTAGCCCATTGCTAAAGCTTGAAGTTGAAACCAGGAGTGTGTGCATTAAATTAGAGTTCCTCAGTCACATAGTAGGAAGGGATTAAGTGCCCACTGATCCTGCAAAAATCCTAGGGCAGATGTAATCAAAGGAGTTTTAGTGTCAGCTGCGTTTTTTGGTGCATCACATTTATTGTGTGATTACAAAAGAAAAAAGCAAAATAAACAACACTTGCGATGAAAAAGAACCCATCGATTATAAGAGATTAAACTCGAAATGACTGTAACAATTTATCTATTCTGTATTTATCGTTCAGTGATGACCAGCAATATTATGTTATTGGTTTGAATTTGGGACATAAATTAGGTCTAATTTCTAGTGTAGGAAGCATAGGTTATGAAACTTATGAACAGTTTTAACACGAGTTTACGTGTAAATAAGATGATGAGAAGTACAGTTGGTAAGGTCGATATTTTTGTTGATTTTGTAAATATGTGATCAGTTAATTACGAACATCTAGAGCAAAAATGTTAGTAATGACAAGAAAGGGCTAGCATTATTGAATTTGATAGGGAGACATACAATGTATTTCTTGATTTACGTTCCACAGAAAAGCCTGCCATGAAAGTTTTTGGAAAAATTAAAGCTATATTCGCAAATCGTTTAGTAGTTGATCCCTTAGTAATTGCAGGACGACTCTGGTTTCATAAAAGAAGGCAAAAGTATTATCAACTATGCTGCATAGCTTAGAAAACAGTGCACATTGTGATTTTGGTGATAAGATGAATGACTCATTACAGGTCAGACTTGTATGTGGTATCTGAAATAAACAGATACATAAAAGGTTTGTTATTGGGGGTAGGTTTCACATATAGGAAGGCTTATTAAATTGAAATTGCCATAGAATTATCAGCTGAATACAATGTTGAATTACAAGGGCAACATTGCAAAGAAACAACTGTATAAATTTCAGGTGAAAACAAAGGGTAAGCAAGGTTCCAAAAGTAGTGGAAAATCCAATTCAGTAATTTAAAAAATATATTTCAAGTACACAAAACCACACCATATTCAAAGAACTGGTGAGTGACAAATTTAAAATGTGGGACACATCCAGTTAGGCCGGCAATCTAAAAATGAAGTATTTTTAGGTTAACCTAATTTATGCAAAGAGTATTAGGTTAGTCCGCTTTATAGTGGAAGGATCAGCAAGCACTGCTGATGAGAAGGGGCAGCTGCCCCGGGGCCCAGGGTCTGTTGAGGGCCCCGGCAGTTAGATATTCCAAAGCTCACTAGAAATGCACACTACTTAATGAGCTAAAATAGCTACTGCTTTTTCATGGATTCATGAAAAAATTTGTCACCTAAATTTCTTTTATGAAAAATCAGAAAAAGGGGGCGCGATGATATTACTGACCCCAGAGCCTGGGCTGGTTCTCGACGCCCCTGTCAGCAAGGTAAAGTATGTAGTAATACTTAAATTAACTACCTAACTAAGTTTAAGCGAAGAAATGAACAGACTGGACATGATGTGTTAAACAAAGTGAAAGCAAGATCTATTTATATCAATGGGCAAACAGTATGTGTACTTGCTTTCTGGACATTTGATGGTGTCTTCTGTTGGACTCGTGAACTTATCAAGTGGCTTTTTCCTTCGAGATGTTTTACAATCGGCCAACTCACTTAATACCCTGTGTATTAGTGTTTAAATGTAATGTTTTGTACTTAATAGGAAACGCCAGAGTTGCCCATAGTGACAACCACTATCTACGTGACTGGTCACTCTCATTCAACATAGAGGAGGCTGTAAACTCTAGATATACATCAGTGAAGAGCACTGCTGTCATATATATTTTTTACAACATGCGGTGTTACAGCAATACTCTTCCCCGTGAGCAGAGCAGGTATACTATTCCTAGAGAACAACAAAGGCAGCAAGAATGAAGTGAACAGTTTTATGGACCAATGCATTATACAAAAACTGCATAGGCTCAGAATAAACGAAACAATTTGAAACATTTCTACATTGAAATCAGATGTTAGAAAATTTACAGCATACCTGCATACCACATGGCATATATAAAGCCTAATGTACTCATTGCTGGTGCTTGTGATGAGGAAAAACATTTATATGCAACAAGCCTTCAGTTAATCTCAATAAAACAGCAAAGTATTTCTAGCATTATTTGGACTACTCCTACTATTAAAGAATACTAAAGCCCTTCTGAAAACTTATTCTCCAATAGGAATGTTGGATGCACAAGTGAAAAATAATAAACAGAAGAGATAGTTATCAATATATGATGTCTAGACCGGTGGTCCAGCTTTATTTGGTTATAAATAACTGTGGAAAATATAACTAGGTTTGAGCTCCATCAACTCACTGAATACTTCATATTCTTTGATAAGTGTGAAGTAGCAGTTGTATCAGCTATGTTCAGACTTTTCTATAGTGTTCTGGGATCAAATAGGAAAACTAAAGGGACTAAAAGCTCAACTGATCTTAAAAAAGGGGCCATCACCTAAGCTTATCACAACCATACCTTGTTCTCTGAAACTTGGGACTACAGTTCTATGGAGTGAATAGGTCACACCAATTGTTCCAGTTGTAAAATAAAATGAATCAGTAAATGTATATGGTGATTTTAAATTGACAATTAATCCAGTAATACAAAATCAATACCTGATTACCACAGGTTGAATATATTTTGCAACAGTAGCTGGTGGACTGAAGTTCACAAAAATAGATCTGCATCAAGTTTATCTACAGTTGGAGATGGAACTACAGTAAAAAATATAATAACGATTAACACTCATAAAATACTTTACCAGTACAATCACCTGGTATATGGGTTAGCATTTACTCCAGTAATCTGACAAAGAATGATTGATCAAATACTTCAAGAAATGTCAGGCAACTAGTGTCCCATAGATGATATGATCATTATTTATAAGAAAGAGCAAAAACAACTGGAGAACTTACGACAAGCTTTGTAAGGTCTTAGTGACTACAATATACATGTTAATCTTTCCAGTTGTGAGTTTTTTCAAGATAAGATTGTATACTGTTGCCATGTGACTTATAAAGATGGTATTCAAAAGACATCTGAGAAAGTGGAAGCTAAAGATCTAATTCATTATGACCTATAATTACCAATGAAATTAGGATGTGATACATTTCCATATGTGGTTGGAGCAGTTATATCACACAGTATGCTAGATGGAAGAAAGAAACCTGTGTCAATTGCCTCAAACTTGTTAACTTTGGGAGAGCAGAATTATGATCAGATTTACAAAGAAGCATTGAGGTTCGTCTGGGGAGTGAAGAATTTCTACTCAAATCTATATGAGCATCATTTGTCTTTGATCACTGCTATTTATATGCATTCCCTGTAAGGGAATGCAAGCTATGCCAGTAGATAGGTTATAGCATTATCATTATTTTTTGCTGGACTGGACTGCACAATATTGCATAGAAATATAAAAAAAAACACACCATATAACTGACAGATATAATTGATTCTGTAGAAGTGTTTTACATCTCTCAAGTGGAAAAGTTATGTATTTACAGTGTTCAAGTAAAGTATGAAACTAAAAATCATCAATTTCTCTCAAATTATTATGCTTTCACCAAGGAATAGTGGAAGGATTCTCCTAGAAAATATTTTCCACCCTACTGTGTGTGTGTATGGGGGGGGGGGGTGGATGAACTGTCACTTCAGCAAGGATGTTTAATGTAGAGAATCAAAATGCTGATTCCAGAAAGATTATGACCGCCAGTTTTACAGTTACTATATATACACGAAGGGCACTTAGGACTTGTTAAAATGAAAGCTTTGGCCCAAAGTCATGTTTTTTTCCAAAAGAATTAACCATGACATAGAAAAAATAGTAAAAGGTTGTTGTGAATGTTAACAGGTACACAAACTTCCCATTCCAGCGCCTCTATACCCTTGAGAGTGGCCGAGTAAACCAAGTATATTATTCTGAGCTATTCAAGGAAGTCGGTGTTGTATATAATAATCCTAGGGTAGATATATTTTAAAAAATCTGGTGTCAGCCGTGTTTTTAGTGCATTATGATTAATTCTGAGTGATTACAAAATACAAAAAGCAAAATACCCAACAGTTACTATATGAAAATAATGAAATGTTTACAGTTCTAGTATTTTTCATACATTATTTTTACTACTTGTATGGTAGGAAGATGTGAGTGTTACCTCCAGAATAGTGGCCTCACTGAGTGTGTAGCTTCTCACAAACCATTGCTTAGGAGAGATAACCGAATCAAAAGGCTAAAATAGGCAGCATACTTCCAACAATGGAATGAATAAAGCTGAATAAGAATGATCTTTTCAGATGAATCTCAATTCATATTGTTTGGCAACAGTCAAATAGTTTGTTTCATAGCGGAAAGGAGGATGGTAACATGATCAATGTACATCTACAGTGAAGCATTGAGGGGACCAGTACAAACTTAGGCTGAATCTCAACCAATGGTGTTGGAAATGTAAATAAAATTAATGGCACCCTTGACTGCTGATAGATACATGCACATTTTTACCCATCCCTCAGGGACAAGACCCGCTGGAGGGATTCATATCCTGACAGGCAGGGATCTCAAGCATGCAGCAGATGTGTTGAAATGATACTTGAAAGAAGAGACCAATGGAATACAGACTATCATGAATATTATTAAGGTAGTATACAAACAATGTGCTATTTTTAAAGCAAATACAAACTTATTCGATTATATTTTGAATTTTCTGTGATAATGTGCTGTGCTAATAATAAATTTACCACTTAATTGTAATCATTTATTGATTATAAGTATTTTAGTATTTTTCTTCAAATTAATTACAACTAAAACATATAACTAATCATACATAAGGAAAAAATTAAGATATGTACAGTGCACAATAAAACACTATTTAAATGAAAAAAATGCATATAAAATACACAATAAAGCATATTGTTTTCTGAAAACAGTAATATGTAATAAAGATACTTTTAGCAGAAAAAATACTGTTGCGTCAGCGGGGTCACGTGACTATTGTCACGCCGCCTATTTTCTGGAAGTATCTTGTTTCTTCGTGAATGCCCTAGCATTTACTAGATATATGTTTTTCTGGTATATAAATAGGACGCTCACAACGTGACAACAATGTGTGTGTAATTGATCTGCAGTGAGAAAGTATTGTCGAATTTAATGTTCGTTATAGCGTTTGTTTTAGCGCGAATGTTGAAATCAAGTGTATCGTGAAGTTATATTCAGAAAGAATAAACCCGTTTTATTAAGTAAGGACTTGTGTCGCTAAAGTTTCGTCGGAACAAAGTTACGGAAAGTTAATTAACAAACGGAGACGTAACAAATTGGTGTCAGAGAGTGGGATAGAAAAAAAAAGAGAAAAAAATGGAAACGAGAAGCGGCAAATCAAACTACAGCATAGCAAACTTGATGGCAGCAATACAAGAACAGCAAAAGAAACAAGAAGAACGAGAAGAGAAATTACAAAAGTTGTTAGAGGAAAAAGAAAAGAAACAAGAAGAACGAGAAATTAAACAAGAAAAGAAACAAGAAGAACGACAAATTAAACAAGAAGAGAGATTACAGCAGTTGTTGAGGAAAAACAAAAGAAACAAGAAGAGACATTACAACAGTTGTTGGAGGAAAAACAAAAGAAACAAGAAGAACAAGAAGATAAATTACCGCACTTCTTAGATGAAAAAGAAAAGAAACAAGAAGAGAGACAACAGCAGTTGCAAGAAAACCTGCAACAGTGGCAGCTCGAACAGCAAAATAAAGAAGAGAAATTACAGCAGTTCTTGGAGGAAAAAGAAGAGAAACAAGAAGAACGAGAAGAGAAATTACAGCAGTGGTTGGAGGAAAAAGGAAAGAAACAAAACGAACGAGAAAAGAAACAAGAAGAAAGATTACAGCGTGGCAAGAAAACCTGCAACAGTGGCAGCTCGAACAACAAAATGAACGAGAAGAGAAATTACAGCAGTTGTTGGAGGAAAAAGAAAAGAAACGAGAAGAACGAGAAGAGAA